AAGATATACTGTGATCTCAAATAAGTTAAGATACATTGAACAAGAGAAAAGGATAATATTTCAAAGAGGGCTCCTTAATTGGTGGTTGGCAATCTGGACTTTGCCCTCCTCTGTCTGTGAAATGCGTGATAAAATGCAGGCTGTTTTATGAGGAATTAACACACAGTTGGCCTAAGTCCAAGGTAGCTTAAAGTGACTTTAATCGATAGAAAAAGTTAAATGTGGGAGAATTGTGTGGAAAACCCAATATCAATAGTATTAAGTTCCATTTGAATTTTTTTCAGTGGAGTTGGACAATGCAGTTGGAATATATAAAGAAATGCAGGAAAATAACATGTGATAGGGTGAAGTCCAATGTGGCAAAATGGAATTTGATTGGTGGAATACAATTCAAGCACATTAAAAATTGCCCATTGTTCATGTAGTGCAATGATTAGGTATGTTCTCATTGGACTTTGGACTTGGGCTTTGTTATCATGATACATGATGGAATGTAAGTTGTTTGGCGTGTGAGTTGCACCAAAAGGAAATAAGCCCTTTAGATGCTACATCAAATCATTACAGTACATGTATACAAGGAAAAAAAGGACTGGGATGATAACCCACTCTGACAGATAACGTACTTATTGACTGAGTGGGAAGACCAGATGGGAAAATATTTGGCATGAGGTCATGAAGTAGCGAGCGTAGCAAGGTCTGTGCACCATGACTGAGAGCCAAATATTTTCCTATCCAGTCCGAACAAACTCAGTCAATGAGCAGTTTATCATATGATCACAAAATGTTGAAAATTTGGCAAATTTTGTTTTAACCTGTAGAATAGGCAATGGAAAGCGCTCATGGGCAGCCACAGGCAGGATGAGAGTGAATATTGAGAGATGAATTAAGAATGAATTTTGTAGTAATGAACACTACTTGAGCAGTATTGAACATTAAGGGTTTATTTTCAGGCTTTAATTTCACCACAGTGCTTTAATAACATTCATCACCCTGAACAATCCTCTCATCTTCATTACTCATAATTTTAGCTTTGTGAATTTGAAGTTAAATCACACAATAACAATTTTTCTTCTCCTAACCTCTCTACTTAAAAATATAGATATTGTAAGGAGAAGTTCCTTTTTGGTCACTCCTGAGATCAACAGGGCCACTATCATTACCTTGTAGACAGGTAACAGGATACAAAAAACTCCCCAGGATGAGGTTAAAAACTTCTTCAATTTGACTATACGTCTCTAATATTTTTAAACAATTCAGAGGAATTAAAAGTCTAGCATAGAAATCTAACTCGATTAAGCTGTGTAGTCAGTAGAGTAATTTACCTGTTTGAACAAGGCATACAACTTCAGTTTGTGATCATTCCCTGGATCTTGTTTTAGAGTCTTCGTCCTTTCACTTGCTGATTTAAATTCTTCCTCCAGATTTCCTAAACTCATAGTTCCTGTATGGATGGGTCTTAAAGCTGACAAACGGAAGAAAGACGGGCGAAACGTTAACTTTCGCAGTCCAAGCAAGCTGCGCGCCATCTTAGAGTGGCTAGACTTATATGATGACGGTGCTCTAAAACGAGCAGCCGCTGAAAGCATTCGAGCAAAACATTGCTCTATTCGCATTGTTGATACTACTTGCCAAAGTTTTATGCTGTTATAATGATGCTTTATCGCAATTGGAAATGTTCTGAACACTCTTTTAAGCGTATGATGCTGGAAGGTTAGCAAAAGATATCTAAAGTTATTTGTAAAAATGATGATGCGATTTCACGACAGACATGGAACTCATGTTCGGTTGTCACCGTCGAAGACATCCGCCACCAGAGTCAAGAGCTTCGCGAACGCGGTTGTATTTAGTCATCGCCCCTTAGCATTTGGTGAAACGTTCCTTTTTGAGATAGAAGAACAGGAAAAGGACTGGTCAGGTCATGTCCGCTGTGGGATCACAACTCACAATCCATCTTCAATTAAAAGTGTTCCACCGTATCTTCTTCCTGACATGGCCCAAATGGGGCGTACTTGGGTGTTTGCAATCAAATCGACGATGCAAAAACCTTTGGGTGATGAACAGCTGAAAGATTACGGTGGCCACAATTTTCAACGCCAAGAGGCAGGAGATAAAGACGATAACCCGGTGTTTTGCGGTGAAAAAGCGAGAGAAGGGAAATTAAAACCAACAGATGTTGGCTCGCGAATTGGAGTGAAAGTCAGTCCGACCGGGGAACTGTACTTCTTTGTAAATGGTATAAAATTTGGCCCCTGTGCCCTTGATGTACCTGTTGACAGGGATCTTTATGTGGCTGTCGACGTGTACGGAACTACAAAACGAGTTCAAATCATTCAATGTGGAGGTTAGTATGATATAAAAAATAACTTTGCAAGGGTAGAGGGAAAAGTGATCTCTACTTCCCCCAGGGATACTTTGTGTATGAGGGGAGGAGGCAGTAAGGAGATGAGAATTTTTCTCCAGCTCTCTCCATGTGGCTCTAGTTGTTTCAAGGTTGATTGCAATCCTCTTTAATTTATCATATATGTGTATCTGAACTTAATATGTAATAAAACAAGAGTTCATGTCATAGAGTGAATTAAGCTCCAGCTGCTAGGCAAGGGTTAAAATGACTCTGATAAGGGCCCAAAACACAATCATGCCCACAAACATAAACTGTATTACTCTTATTATTACTTTGGAGAGCACTGAGAAAAAAGAGAAGTGGAAAAAGTGACAACAAAACAGTCTGATCAGTCACACGATTGTGGTGGGGGGGGGGGGGTATGGTGGGCTGAAATACACTTAAGCCCACAAATACCTCCAGTTAAGCCTGAGAATGTGCCATAATACCTGACAAAGTGATAATAATTGAGAGCCTGACACATCTGATAAGTGTCAAGGTAAGTTGCCTTGCTTTACGTGACATGAAGAAAATTTAAGTAAAAACTTTGGTCTTGTGATAGAATATTGTCTATGCAACAGGTTGCAAAGATTCAACTGGTATGAACAAATTTTACTTGGGGAATGAGAGATTATTCTTAGTTTTATTGGAGTGGTTCCACTTAAAACAATGTTTAACTACAGGTGAAATAAAATACAATAGGCCATTGGGACTCTGTGGAGGGTGACTATGACAGCTTAACAGAGGTTGAAATTACAGTAGTAAAGGGGAAAAACAGGTTTGACTGTAGTGACGGTGGGGAAGTTGTTTAAGAGCTATGGATGTGAGCTAACATACTTTTCTCACTTTAGTGCCACCACTTCTTGATTTGTGCTGTGAAAACATCAGGAAATGTGTAACAAAACAGGAAGATTTGGAATCACTCCCCATTACTGCGTCACTGAAGAAGTACATTGCAACATTTTAACAAGAAATTGTTGTCACAGAGAAAGAAAATATCTCCAGTGTTCTTAAGGGTTAAAACATTAGTAGCATATGTAAATTAAATTAAATAGAATTATGATAGCATTTATCCTGTAGGGTCCCACTCAATTTACAGCCTTCCAAAAATATAATTTAACCCTTTAACTCCCAGATCAAATTTATAATTCTCCTTATTGTCAGCCAGATAATTTTTATAATGTTAGTTAGAGAATTTAGTATTGGATCAACTAATTATCCCCAAATTGATATTTTTCTTTATTCTCAGCTCTTTTGTAGTTGATATTGTATTTATATTGTACGGAGAAATTCTTTCTTGGTCATTCATGGGAGTTAAGGGTTAATTTAAAATTAGTCTCACTGTTACTGTACAGATATGAAACAGAAATTTTATGATTTATCCTGGAAAGTATTAGTATTAATTTTTGCCAAGTAGAAGTCAAGCCTTTACATTGGCTGTGTCAGCTTAGAGATTTTTAGATTTATTTTTAAAAAGAAATTTTGCTGTGGCATACATCGGGAAAAAAACCTTGAGGGTCTTGTAAACTTGATTCAAGCCTTTATGGGTCAAATGATTTTTTTATGAAACAAGGTGACTGCAAATTTTATTTTTTCGTGATTTGTAATCTTGTTGAAGAAGTCCTCCTCTGTGATTTTGAATCAATGTGATACAGGAATTGCCTAGTTTTACAAGTCCTTTTCAAGGGATTCATTTTGGTTTGTGTGTGTGACTTTCTGCTTAATGTAAAGAGATACGAACATGACTTTACCAGTAAACCCATTGGGACCAAACTTTAGAGTGTCCTCTGGATGTTGGAAATGTGAACCTATTACCCTTGAATTTATTTCTTTCCTGTCTGAAAATGGTGGTGGTTGTTTTTTTCATTAAGGTGAAATAATGTCTGTGGTTGGTACTAATGACATGAAAAGCTTTAATGTTTTTATGTGAGGTCTGACTCAATTTAGCTGTATCCATAGTCTGATGCAGTTAGCCTACTTATAAACAGCTACTCAGACTTGTTAAGTATATATCAATTCAGTGTTTATTTACCAAGATAGGTGTGTTCCTCAAAGGAAAATAAAAGAAAGCTCAGATACTAGGTATCCTTAAAACACTGCAGCTTACATAACTCTGAATAAACTCTTTTCCTTGATAGTAAAAAGGACTTCAACAATAATTAATGGCAATCTGTACTGCAAACAGGTATACTGCATAGATACACTGATTAGGAGAACATGATTAGCCAACCAGAGTCAATTACTTCTATTTTATTTTAGCCAACTAAGTGTTTCCCAAAATAGCAGTTATTGCATATCACCATGCATTTCAAAATGTAAAATTTATGAACAGTAACATGTATATAGAACAACTACTTGTAGATTAGCATAATACCAACAAAAAAAATCATAGATGATAGTGATTAAAAGTTTTTTGTTGATCTGACTCATCCATAAATGTAGAGTTGGACTTGAGTTTAAACAAAAAAAATCTTATGTCCATTCCCAGGAGGGGAACCAGGATTTTTCATAGCAGGAGGTGCAATGCCAAGTACAGATTTTAAAAGTGAACAACAAAAAAGAGGCTTATGACTAGGCAATACTGTAATGTAAACTGCTGAGAATACATAGCAAATGATACAGCAGAATTACAGAATTTTTATAATTGTGAAGTTAAATTAGAAAGCTGCAGGTCATCTATATCCTAAGATCTATCCATATCAAGAGGCATCTGCTTAAAAAAATAACTTAATCAGGGTCCAGTTGTATACAGGAAGTAATCAATGGATAAATCACTATCCAGTAAATAATTATTAAGAAACGTACTGTGCTATCCACTAGATAGGGATTTATCCAGCATACCCTTTAAACAACCGAACCAGACCTGTTCTCAAATTCTTTATGAAAAAAACAAAAACAAAACAAATGTTTTTATTTTTTTATCAAGACATCTGATTAGCACATATCTCAGCTGATTCTTTGTTACTTTTATTAACTGCTGGAGGTGTTGATCAAAATGTCTTCAGATAGGTAGAAAAAGTGTCCCTGGAGGACAAAGAATGTTGTGTTATCATGTGTACCAGGAAGTCTGTGATTTGAATGCAGCCGGACTTGTCTTTGGATCCTGTCCATTCATGATTGAACCACTCATACTGGGGCCACTCATGGGACCTGAGGTACCATCTCCACGTAAAACTGTTATACACTTCCAGTTGTTAAGATAGTTGGCTGATAGGAAGAAAGATTGTATAAGAATTAAGGTTGATCAACCTTGTACATAATGTGTGGCACTGCTAAAGATTAGTGTTCAGGTGTTCCCTTCATATCAGTATTCATTTAGTTAAACTACAAAGTTTGCCTCAGTAGAAAGCATCCCAAGAATCAACATTCCCTTTATTTAAATTCTTATTAAAACAAAGAATGACTTAAGTAATCAAAAACTCCTTGTTCATTACATTACCTTTCCATAAACGTACACAGCCATCATCTCCAGAGGAAGCCAATATTGTGCCTGTTATATTCCACTCAACTCTCCAAACCTACAGCAAATTTGATAGGTTATTTGATTTTTAGCTATATGTTAACAAGCAGAACGTAACTGATCACAAAAGTTCTATTTACTGATTTAATGTATTTGAAGTCTTACTTGAGAGTCATGATCATTAAACTGTGCTGCCAGACTGATATCAAGTTTGGCCAAACTTGCTCCAGCTCCTGTTCCTTGCTCTCTATTGGTTTGCAGAATGAAAACAAAGTATTCTACTGACAAGAGTTGAATCACCAGGGAGAGTACAATAAACAGATGAGCTCTTAAGAATCTCTACAATTTTTATACTGGTGATCTCACCTGTAAGGTTTGAGCATCATAATACGAACATCCTTAGAAGCAATGGCTAAAAGATGATATGACCTACAAAATAACAACACCAAAAAAAACAAAAAAACAATGGGCATTGGACAACATTGACAATAAGGCTGTCGTGCAAGAAAATGATCAATGGGACTGTAAAGTATGCAGTTTTCTGAGTGAAAATCTTAGAAACACATAGCTGAAACAAAGTCAACAACAGGATTTCTAAAACAGCAAAGAAGTACTGGAAATGTATTTTGCATTTAAACAACACCCAACCCAAATAAGTAATCCAACAAATTAACTTTTTGCACAGCAACACTACAGCATACTGTTTATTCCTGTGTTTTCACTAAACTAAGACGTTTTTGTCTGAGGAGGGAGGAGGATGGTCTTACTGAGGAAAAGTTGAAAATTGAAGCATTACATAGGGAGCTTGTTGGAGCATTTATAAGCCGAGAAAAGAAAGATGATTTACCTTCCTAAATTTGGAGCAAAGGCCACATCATGAACAGCATCTGTTATTGCCATTAGTGTTTCTAATCTGTGCCACTTTCTGTAGGTTTGGATTCACAAAAAACATTCAGTTTCACACTAGCAATTTAATAAATTCAAAAGTAAAAATATTTGGTTAAGGTTTAAAATAATTGTTATTATCACTTTCCCATGCATTGCAGTGCATTTTGTGGGCTACAATAGAGATTTGAGATTTGCCAGACTGATAAGCTATCATTTTTGTTTGTTTGTTTTTTTTAATAGTAAAAGAGTTTATGTTCTTGAGCATAAATATGTTTTGGGCCCTTCTCAAAGTCACTCTAACCCTCACTGCTAAAATGATTCTGAGTTGGGCTCAAATTATATTTAAGCCCTCCTACATAACATAACTACTTTTAACAGCAATCATTTACTGAAACAAAAAGAAATAACTGTACTCTAAATAACACAATGAAAACTAGTTTCCAGGTGGAAAGGTGTTGTCAGAAGAAAGCTGAAGTCACAGCCCTTATTCTGTGAAGCTGGCAAATATGGTCATGACTCTGACTAGTAGGGATAAAATTACAGACACACCTGTTTGCTTCATTGTGTTCATGTATTTGAACTTTTCCTCCAGCACTGGTGTTAGGATCATTACTACCCACTGCTAACATTGGTGGATGCACTCTAAACAAGTTACAGTCATTGTCTTATGAGTAGAAGAATGCAAGAGTAAAGGAAGCTGCCCTGTACATCATTGTTAATCTGCTTTCAATACACAGATGGTTTTTCTGAGACATTTTGCTCTAATCATTGTAAAATTCCTTATTGCACATTTTAATTCTTTGACTCTTATCACTGACTTCCAGCTAGAATACAAATTATTACTTTTTTCAGACAGAGTGACACATAACACCTGGAGTAGCTGCTTAATCCCCAGTAATACAAATGTGTGAAGACCAGACTTCTACTATGATCAAGTAAATACTATTTGGACCATGAGGGTTCTCCCAGTGGAGATAATTTTTTCTTTAAGAATTTTTTTTTGTAATTTCAGTCAACATTGCTGGGTTATGCTCTAGCACAATTGAAATACCATAAAAGACTATCTCAATCTTTTGTGAATTTGACTAAATTTTCACTCCAGATTTAAGAAACAAGTCCAAGCCTCAAGGCACCAAGTGATTTTGATAAGAACACAGCTTTGATTATAATTCATTCCTTGTATATAGAATAAGAGAGATGGTAGGTTTTGTGCTTGGTAAAAAAATAGAGAAAGATGTTTTTCATCTTATCACAAGTGTGGGACAAAGTAAAAACTGTGAGTTCCCATGAGGAATTGAACCTCAGACCTTCAGATTGCACAGTCTGATGCTCTTCCACTGAGCCACGGAAACTGTATGGTGAGCAAGGCCTAATGTGTAGATTTAGCCAACCCTAAAAACCGGAGCTCGCATTTTTTTTTCTGCTTGTCCCAAGGGCACAACACCTTGCCCCAGCCAGGACTAGAACCCAGATCGTCCAACTCAGAGCCCAGTGCTCTGACTGCTGGACTACTGGACAAAGCTGTAGCATTGGCGTGCCCACGGTACAGTTGATCACGCATGTTAAAAGTAGCACCTTGTACTATTGGTCGTACAGTCATAAGTCCAAATTTTTTCAGCTTGATGGGTTACTACTATCATTTTGTATAATTAAGGGGCTATGCTCTGTGAGCTCTGCTATATTGAAGTTCATACATGTGACATAAAACATCATTCTCTATTTCTTTACAGAGACCAAAACTTACTTATTCTATTTCCAAACATGGCACTATTGACATTGCTGATCCCAGCAATATTCAGGACCCATGTCATATGAACTGTGTTATAGGCCTTGCCCACTATGGTGGCTCAGTGGTAAAGCATTAGAGTGCGGAATCCGAAGGTCTGAGGTTCGATTCCTCATGGGGACTAAGAACTTCCCATGCTCATAACAAGATGAAAAGCATATTTCTTTAATTCATTCCTTATACCTTGATAAGTTCCATGACACACAGCTACAACTCAACTTGTGGTGGATCTCATTCTACAAGAAAATGTGGAGTTACAGTTAATTCAAGCATCATTTTGTTATTCAGATTAGGGTACACAGATAAATAGAACCACTGCTAACTCCAATGAGATCCGATTTGACCCCATTTTTCCAGTCATTTACTATCAGAGACAAGGTAAAGTCCATAAAAATGCAAAAAAAAGAATGAAGCAAATATGAACTATCTTGACTGAACAAGCTTGTTCAGTAAAGCATTTATTACACAGCAAAAATATTTTGCCCTATTATGAATCAAAATGACTCAGTTATTTCAAGAGAAGGGAAAGAAAGCCAACTGTTTTTGTAGCGAAATAAACCTTTGTTTCTCCATTTGACTGTCTTCTGCCATCTTTCGGACTCCAATGCCAAGATTGCCCAAAAATTACAAACTTTGTAAATCTGCCCTAAGTAATTTTCTTTCTTGTGCAGGATCAAAGTGGGCAATCCCGAGCAGGCAAGATGGGGCCATCTTGCCTTCTCAGTTAGCCAATCAAAACAAAGGTTTTGCTTCATATTGCCTAGGGATGCCACCATCAATGTAATTACTAAGTGATACAAGATTCTATTTGTTTAACTGATTTTTTTTTTTACAATAAAACCCACTTTCTAGTTGCTAAAACTATCAGCTAATGATAACATTTAAGTTAACATATAAAGAAAAGCCAAACTATTCAAGATTCCACCGACCTGTAGTTGCCACTGGCCTAAATTCATTATATCAGGAGCTTCATAAATTCTAACAGTACCATCCTTGGAGCATGTGGCCTGAACAAAACAAATTAACAATAACTGATCCCTTTTGTGCAATTACTTTTTTTTACTTAAAGGTTTGGTCAAGGAGATTCAACGTTAGTAAGCTTTACTTACTTAGACCAAAAGATAACTATTGTTGAGGGACCTTTGAGGCATGAAATTTCACATTGGAAAAAACACACAACAGTTACTTTGTTTGTTGCAAAATTTCTAAATTACACCAAACATTTTAAGTCACGTAACATTTGAAACTGACTTTTCACTTGTTTTCTGGTGTCAGAACCTACCAGCTGTAGTCCCAAATGCTTTGGAGCAAACTTGACATCTGTTACTGATGTTCTACTATCAACAAGTGAGCTCCTTTTCACCTGAAAAAAGGACAGTATATTACATTTTGGTGATAATGCTAGGTCTGTAGAATTAGGTTCTTCAAATGCCCATCAAGTGTCAATATAATATTATGTTCTCAATATTCACTTTTCTCACCAAAACAGAAAAGATCCAATCTGTGAAGAAGTTAATCCCACAAATTTTCCATGCTACATTACAAAAGTCATTAATAAAATGCTACCACTGAACCTTTTACACCCTAACATCAGTTAAGGTATTCTCCTTATTGTTTTTTAAACATTCCCTAAGGTGCTAACAATGAAAATTTTTGTAAAAATCAATAACTTCTTTGGCGGCTGATCATTTTCTTTATTCTCATGACCTTACTGCATGATTCAGGTAACAAGAAATTAAATGCTAGTCACTCCTAGGGGTTACAGGGTTAACTGATCCTATTTCTGCGAATAAGTGCAATGATTGAATAGGCACCTCCCCTCTGGGCTGTAATATCAAAAAAGTGCCCCTCTCAAATAGGCATCCATCCCCTTCTCCCTCACTTTCTTAAATTGAAGAGATACAAGAAAAACCTGTTTCTATTAATACTTTACTAATTACTTTTTAAGCTTCAACTACAACAGAATCAGTACAGGTCAATAGTTTCTTAATAAGCACTCTGCTTGATTAAGCCCCCACCTCCCAATAACCACCTCTCCTTTTGGTCAAAATTCTAAACAAGTGCCTACACTTTTATTTGAGTAACAAAGTAAATTCTTTGAACAGTTCTTACCCAATGACTTTGACCTTGTGAAGTGCCATTACCAGACCCTACAACTGAATTCAAAGTTGATGTTTCAGAATTTCAGTACATGGTTTAATCTAATATAAAATTGATACTTTTCAAGTTGATCAGTCAATGCAACAACAATTGATGTAATTTTTTAAATCATATATAAGGGTGATGAATATGCAAGTTCATCGCTATAGTGTAGGGCATTCTCAATCACCCAAATATAATTTCATTCCAACTTCTTACTGTTGTTACACCAGATTGAAAACACTTTATATTAATTAACTTTTATTAGTTACCAAGAAGTATAAGTGTCACAAGAGTGCATGGAATGTTATCACTCCAGCCTTGTAACTGATTTCCATCCACTAATTTTTGAAAAGGCTGAAGTTTTCCTGTGTTTAAAGTGAGAGAAAGATATAGGCTAACAGCATGGTATCAAAACTGGGATCCAGTTTTCCAAAGAGGAGAAGTTAACATGGCTGTCGACGGTTCCCAGCAAAACAGTAGAGATAAAACAATGCCAATAAACTAAAATAAAATTATATTATGTAACATAACAATGATTTTAATTCATCTGCACTGTTTTTTTATTTTAACACTGTTGATAGGGATGTATATTTTCATTAAGCTTACATTGATTGAAAATATTTGAAGTTTGGCCTCGCTCATCACACAGCCCATTTAGGTCTCTCCTAATAATTGATTTACCTTAAAATGTTCTCACGAGCAATTAAGTCACTGATGTTTGCCTGAGATGCAAAATTAATGTCCCATACATGTATAGTTGTATATTGATTTGCATTTTCCTGTCTTTTATGAAGCACTGTTTTAAAAATTCACTCCTTGCATCACACTGAATGTTTGAAAAAATTTTCAAACCTTTAACTCTCAATATTTCAGTCATAATTCTCAAATATGACATCATAATACAGGTAAGGAAGGAATCTATATGATGCAAGATGCAATGTGGCCGCCGGCCACGGCGTCTTGACCTACGTTATCTATTACCTTTCTTCGTTTACTCATGACTTGTTGTAAGTTTTTGTCTTTACTATATATTGCCTTACTGTCAAGTGATCCATTTAACATGCTGACGTGGAATGCTAAAACCTCTATGAATTCTACTGGAAAAGATTCTAACACTGGAAAAGACACAAACGCTTCGAGCACCGAGTTCGTTTCTCTAGCGACTCTGAGGGAGATGCTCCAGATGCAGGAACGGATGTTTAAGAACATGTTTGAGTCGGTTCTGTCTTCTGTAAATCCAAGAATCGACAAGGTTGTCAAATCTGTCGCGGAACTAAAAGCGAGCCTAGAATATTCACAACAAGATATTGACGACTTGAAGGAAGCTGCAGACTCCATAGACGAAATGGAAGAAGAACTTGATGACATCCAAACAGGGTTACATAAACAAGAAGAAAAATTGGTATACCTTGAGAACCAAAGCCGTAGAAACAATGTCCGCATCGATGGAATCCCCGAACAACACAACGAGACCTGGCTGAATACTGAAACAAAGGTGAAGGAAGTACTACAGGAGAAACTAAACCCGAGCTTTGAGCCGATGATCGAGCGAGCGCATCGCACCGGAGCAAGACCAAGATCAGGTGCTGCTGATGATATCAACACACGCCCAAGAACCATTGTGTGTCGTCTGCGCGACTGGAGGCAGAAGGATGATATTCTTAGAGCCGCCCGAAGGATAAAACCATCTGGTATATTTGTGAATGAAGATCTCGCAAATGAGACCATGGAAAAGCGGAAAAGGCAGGTTGATGAGCTGAATGCGGCAAAAAGAGCCAGGAAGACGGCATACTTCGTGTTGGACAGACTTGTTATAAAGGAAAGACGTAGTGCAGAGCCCAGCTAAGTTTATTTACTAAATAACGATAATGTCGCTTACCAATTTACCGTTTAGTCACTTATATGACAGTGACTTTGCTGCGGTGATTTATGAATTCAGAAATGGACCTGTTCATTTCGATCCCGAGAGACTATCTAACTTATTTATCAATCCTTTGAGTTCCGATTTTGAGCGGTTCTTAATTCGTTCGGATGATCTAGACCCTGACATACATTTTAATATTGACGGCGGGTGTTCTTATTATGTAGAAGATAAATTTAACGATACTCTTCTAAAAGAAATCATGATTAGTCGTGAACAATCGAACCATCTTTCATTGTTCCATTTAAATATTCGAAGCCTTCAAAAAAAGGTTGATGAACTATCGACCCTTCTAACCGCTCTAGATATAACATTCTCCGTTGTTGGGATAACTGAAACCTGGTTTATGGATTCACCAGTTGGAGTCGAAATTGATGGTTATAACTTTGTTTACAAAAATCGCCCTGCTAAATCGGGTGGAGGTGTTGGCTTGTATGTATCAGACAATCTTGATTTTAGAATTCGCACCGATATTTATGCTGATGAAGCTGAGGTGATGGAAGCATTGTTCATTGAGATCATTCGACCCCATGAGATAAATATCATTGTTGGTATAATTTATCGCCCTCCAAATCAAAATGTAAATGATTTCGTGACCAGAATGAACGAAATATTAGGGAAAATATCTCGGGACAACAAGATATGCTATATAATGGGAGATTTTAATTTGAATCTGCTAAAAAATCAAAACCACAACGCCACCGGGGAATTCCTAGATGGCCTGTATTCTCACCTGTTTTTTCCGTTAATCACGTTACCTTCCTGAATTACTTCTCACACTGCAACTCTGATTGACAACATTTTTTCTAACCATGTCGAGCACAGTTATTTGAAGTCTGGACTATTAATAACGGATATTTCGGACCATCTGCCTATCTTTTCCATTTGCTTCGATCATAAGTGTACCCGCGAACACCAAGAGAACATATTTGTCCGTGACAAAAGCGAGCTAAACATTTCCAACTTCCTAGAGGAAT